CGACGGCCACGGCCACGGCGAGGACGACGCTTAGTGAAAAATGTGTTTCTGTTCTTCTTTGGAATTTCGCATTTATTTGGAACTATCCAGTGTGCCTGTCGGTTTTAAAACTTGCCTGCTGCCAAATAGAAATACGAAAAGTTAGCCGTTGTTGCAACAACAACGTGAAGTGACCAAATTCTGCGTTCTCCGTTCACGTTCTCCAGACAACGCAGAATTTGGTCATTTCACGTTGCTGTTTTGCAGTGGACGGCAAAGAAATGTACCAAGAATTATAACGCACGTGCACAGCCATTGTTTTTTTCATTAAACTTTTTGTTTGGTGACGTTCTCGTTGCCGTTGCCGTCGTATTTTGCGTAAGGTCCCTAATGGCGGGAAGGGCTTATTAGGATAGTCTGTGGATCCTCGAACAACTATCCCAGTATTTCAAAATTGGAAGATGATAATAATACTAATGATAATAATATAAGCGGCCTTGTCTTGAATTGGAGGAGAGATTTTTGTTGCATGTTCTTCGATTCACTGCTGTCATTGGTGTGCAATAATACCCACCTACAAGTAATGCCCACTTACGGCTGCGCTCAACTGAAACAAGGAGGGATGCAATTTTTTTACAAGGAATATACCTCAGGCAACCTAAGGGAAAACGTCGACGAGAATATACATATATTTTAAAATTGGTTTGTTCTTTCATGTATCAGTAAATCCTTTCAAAACAGAAAAGAGTTGCCTCTGAATGATTAACCTTTTGGTAAATAATAACTGAATAAAGTACTGTTGTTGTTGTCGTTGTTGACCAGCGTGTTTGCTCTGACGAATAGCTCATCTGCTCTACTTCACATGTGTCTGTGTATAAGAAAGACTGAAACAAGATCCACAATTCCTAGCTCTTGATTAAATTAATCAATGCAAAACGAACTACTTTGGTCTGATATCCGGGTTTCATATGATGAGGACAAGACTGCTGCTGACTGGATCCCCGGAGACGGAAATTATACAGGGTGATTGTATACGAAACCAATTCACATTAACGAATAACAGAAGACTCGCTCTTTTGTAAAACTGAGAGCATCATTAGATCAACTGTAGACAGAGAAATGATTCACCGAGTGACTCAAATGGAAACCAACGTGTCAAAGCGGAAACTGAACGCTGCAAACGTGGCATCCAGTACTACGTGGCTTGCAGTTTCCATTTGACTGACATGCCACTAATAATACAATAAGTTGTCACTTTGGTGAAAGTTGGCGGTCCATTCAGTGATTGAGTTCAAGACTGACGACATACATGTAGCAATCACGTACATAGCTCAAGGCGGCACTCGATCACTGACACGACATTTATTGTATGTGTGAAGTGTGAAAAGTGCAACAGCTTTATTCTCAAGATCTTAACAGTCACGAAACAGCAAAATCGATTGTTAGGCGTTGTCTCTGTTTCCAGCAAGAAAAAAAACTTAATATTGAATCGTATGGTAGCTTGTTCTAAAATGCCCTCGGAAAACGCGATAAACTGTAGCGTGGAAAATTATGAAGATAACAGAGCCGATAATTTTGAAAAGACTGATCATACGCGAAGTGAACGGAAAAAACTGAGCACGATATTATACGTCCCCGCTCTCCCTTCCGAAATGCTTTTTCAGTGACCGCTGACGCCAGTGACATAGGAGCAGCTAATGATAATGTATAATACTAATATACCCCTGCCTCCAAAGCTGGACAGTCTTTTTATTTATTTTATGATATTCAGTCTTAACGGTTGATCGTTATAGTAGAGATAGTGTTAAAAAAAAAAAAAAACTTATATATAAGAAAAAAAGTAAAATATCGCAGACGGGCTCTTCGATGGTGTTTCATTATAAAGTGGAATTAAATTTTCCACACTTTTGAGGGTCTTTCACCGGAAATTTCTGTGTTTTTCTCGAACTCTAACGAACTTGATAACTCGACATAGCGCATAATAACAAGAGCAAGAAAAACGAGTTCTTGTTCAATCTGGTAAACCAAGGTTTCAATCAATTCAGAATCTTTACCCGCCTTCAGGCATGTCAAAGCATTGACAGGGTATCGTTTTGCTGTCGTATACGTGACCAGCTTGGATGGCATCCTGAGGCGTTGGCCAAGATGCCTGTTATTCATTTTTGGTTTCGGCACGTATGATGATCGCAGGCGTTGTGAAGCGAATAAAGACATACACTTGTCAGGGGCACCCAACGGATCGTTTCGGAAGGCCTTTAATCCCCTTTACTCCCGGAAATGCAAAATCATTTTTCCTAATTTATACAGTCAACTGTCACAGTGGTTGAAATTTAACAGTCCTGTGTCAAAGAACATATTTTTGGAACAGCCAACCGTTCAAGTTTACCCTAATTATGCACCGTGCGTACCGCTTACACGAGAATAGTTCTTCCTTGAATATATAAAAATAGTTTGTCGACTTCCTATGCTCCCGTCGTCAAAAATCCAAGGAATTTTAACACTTCTGGCTTACTGAAACTAGTACATTGTTCCTGCATTCTGCCCCGCGTTACCACGCACATTGTCGACGCGTTTCCTGTGATAATAATCGCCACTTCAGTTGTGCCCTATCGTTAGAATATGCGGTTTCCATTTGTAATTAAATTTGGAGAGGGAAAATAAATTACTGATTGCCTGATTTCCCCTCGGTCATTGCAATCATCATTAAATAGGGTAAAAAAAAAAATGTTGCTAGTGGACGACTTCGAAAATATCCCTTGATGGTGTGATCTATTCTAAATATATCATCAGGTTAAGGGTGAGAACCACATGACTAAACTGTATTGTGTATTATATCCTTGCAACGCACGATATCCTTTACCACAAACAACATTTAAAAGGTCGGCCTTCATGATCAAGCTAAGCTCAACAGCGAAATAAATGTTCTTTTTCCCCTAAATGGACACCATAACCTTGAAAACACGAAATTAAATGAGATACGGTTGCCTACGGTACGTAGTTATTTAAAGAAAAGATAAAAAATTCCGCTTTGAGATATTTTTATTATGTAATGAACACGTCTTTAGGTAATGCTATTTAAGTGCTGTTTTAATGCCGAAATATTTTTTTTAGAAATGATAGTTCCCCATTATGTTTACTTGGGTTCCTAAGGCAACCTCGCCGGTGAAAATGATCAATAAAGAGGTCATCCATATTGCGCAAATAGGGGAGGGTGCCCCGTTTTTTATTGCATTTTTGTAACATTCTTAACATAATCACCAAACGGGTTAAGGTTTAGAATTTTTCATACACCACTTTTTTCGATGAAATCACCCTGTTATTTTGAGTAAGTGATCCATTCAGTAATTTGACGTTCTTGTTATGCTGCTCAAAGGTTAAGTAGAGATTTACCGTGCTTGTCTTATGATCAGATGGAACTCGTGATGGATCCCTGACTTACCCAAGGCAGTGTTCAATTCGCACAAAACAAGACTGTTTTTATTTTGTTTTTCTTTTTATTTTAATACATCATTTTGTGGCAGACGTTTGTTTTCCTCTTGTATTATCTTTCAATTTATCTTTTCGATTTACAATATATTTTATTTTATTTTATATACAGTATACTTTTTAAGTCCATTTTCTTCTTACATATTTGACAAAGCTCGAGAAACAAACTTTATATTTTCTGAGTCTCCCTCGTTAACATGAAATAAGTGTATGTTTGTCATTTAATAAGATGAGTGGCTTTTCATATATTCTCTTTTTTACAAAAATATTCACGTATGTATCAAGTAGAGCACGAGTGAATTTCAGGCTCATATCAGTTTTTACCAAACTCTTTCGTTGTAAGAGTAGAAGACATGAATAAATCCTCTTGGTAATGTCTTCGTTTTAAATATTACTTTGGAAAACAATTTTAGATATATTTACAATATACATTGAGAATGCTTTTATTCTACACATCAGCTAATCTATGCGGAGTACCATGGGGAAAATAAATTATTTCGGCAACGATGCGATTAAGACACAATTGAATAACGTATGCTTAGTGAATCGAAACAATACTTTGCTCTTTGTCAACAAATCTTTCTAAAAAGATTAATTTTCTTCAGAGTTAAGCTTGAAAAAATTGCGTCATGAACTTCCAAGTTTATATTATTTCAACATGTTTAAACAACCTCAACGTTAAACTGATGTAAACTGGTGACATTATTTTTCGCTTTTCTTTTCCTAGCTATTTTACCGATGAACTACATGGGTGATGTAACAAGTCCTGGTGAATTCTGTTCGTTACCAGATGGAGTTATCCCTGATCCACATGGCAGCGACGAAAAGCTAAAGAACCCAAATGGAGAAGTGACCGTACAGCTTGTTGTGGGCGTGTTTATTAACAGCTCAGTACTGCTCGTTGCTCTCTCGGTCAGTTGAGTCTCTGATTCCCAGTTCAGTAATTGTCCCATGAAATTAAAGTTTGGAGATATGACCGATCGCCTTTTCTTGACATACTCATAAGCTTCGTCTAGCCTCAGCCGATGCCTGCTTATAAGGTAGGCGAGGCAAATGGTAGCTGATCTGGAGATGCCTGCTTGGCAGTGAACCAACACTCTTCCTTTTGAGTTCTTCACTGAGTCTGAAATAGGATTAAAATAAAGAAAAACATCAAACAAATTTATCTTACAGAGCTAGGTAACTCGAAACATATTACAACTTCCTCTACGCCTCAAAAAAATTAAATTTGAGTCAAAGGAAGATAGCGGCAAGGTAAAAAAAGACCAGCATAAATTGTGTTTGGATCTTTAGCTAGGCCTGTATTATAAATATATTGTTGAGAAACTTCCGCCCACACGTATTGTAAAGGGAATTCTTTCATAATATCTGTTTTCCGGAACGTGCCCATTTTGTCTCTTTTTACAATGTTAAACAACATTTTGTAAACAAAAATTCGTCGAGAAACATCTGATAATGTTTTGCAAACAGAGGCGCAATATGTCTTGTATTAATATCCGATTATTCTATAAAAAGTTATACAAATATCCAACTATTTGCTGTTTCAGTGTGGAACAAGGTTGGTTGTGAAAGTCCCGATGAGCTTTCGATTTTTACTTTCCAATCAACGTCTAGCACCAACATTTAGGAGTACGAAACTTATTATTGCCAAGCAACGTATCTGACAAAAGAGGCGCGTGAAGACACAATTTTGTACAATACAAGATGTTCGAAAGATCTTCTTACCTATAAACGCAGCAGCTTCCTCGAACCATCGGCCAATATCTGCTGTATAAGTATCATCTACTGGAATAGACTTGTAATGAAATGCCTCCTCAAAAAAGTTCGGAATATTTCTTGATACATTCACAATAGCAGTAATCCCCAGGCGCTGAAGAAGCTCTTTCTGGGACGCATGAATTTCACTTCCAAGATATAAATGTGGTAAAATCTCCACTGGTTCATTTGCATTCACTGACGAACTTGGACGTGACTCGGCGAAATCCTTCATTTCTGTGTCGTGTCTCGGGCTGAATGTTCTTTTAGAATCTTTCGTTTTAAGCTTTAACCCAAGCGGAGATGTAGTTGTTTGTGACGGCGATTGTGGTTTAGCAAAGTAGCACATCGAAGGGTACGAGGAGGAGAACCTTTCAAAGCCTCCTAAAACAAAAACAGCAAGAATAGGATTTAATGAAATATTCTGAAATGTTGATGTTTTTATTTTGATTTGTCAGGAAATACGTCTCATCCAGGGCAAGGGGTCATAAGAACTTCACTATAAAGTATATTCATAGTTAGTCTAATTATGGTAGAATTAACTAACGAAACTGAATCACTTGGACATGAAACTGTTATTTTCTTAATGCTTCTTTCAGTTTCTTATACGATTTGTTGAAAGTGATCGTGTATTATTTCACATTGTTTGACATGATGCATCGCACGTCTCCGTGACAAAATAACCGTGACGTCATGTAACGCTTTGTTATTTTAACAAGTTGAAAAGTTAACACAGCGTCACCAAAATATAAGTAACGCTCGTACAGTCTCACTGGTTTAGAAGTGATTTCAAAACCCTACATGTTAAGTTTGAAGGATCCATAAACTCGCTGAGAAACCTGACCACAGTAAAAATATGGGAAGGATTACTTGGAAACGTGATACATGCTGAAATGCCTGTCACAGCTGGTCAGAGGAATCACGTTTTGGCGCGTTGTAAACCCGCCAGAACCGGTTGTGTCAAAATTAAAATTTGAATGATAAGAGATGAAAGAAGTTACGAATGCGCTCGAACATCTTCAGCAGCGGAAACATTTTTTTATGAAGGAAATCCGTTTTTGATTTCTCGGATCATTAGTCATAACATTTGCGTATTTTACAGAACATCTTTAGGAAAATGTGTGAGGGTTGCGCTACTGGAGACTGGATCAGAGTTGTTTTCTTTCTTCGCACGTGATGCTTTTGTTATGTTCCCTCCATTTTCATAACAATGAAACTCATTCATTCATGAATTCTTGATGGCTACGTAGTGGCTTTGTTATCGTATGTTTATCACAACACTCGCTTTCATTCAAGCGAGGAATAACAGATAAAACCAACACACATTGTAATATCCCATCTAGTTTTGAAATTTTTGAAATTACTACCTTGAAGTTTTTACCTACATAAGGCAATCATTTGCAACTAACGATGGAATGGTAAAGATATGTTCACAGGCTATAAACACGTGGCCAACTTAACAATGGATATCACAGACCTGAACCGTAAGAACGAGAACAGCGGCAATAGCCGAACATAGCTTACCTTTAATGAAATATAAGTTCTTGTTTATTCTCTCCCTCCTTAGAAGCATATAAATTATCTTCATTGTATTGTCCATTTCCAAGTCTTTCCAGTCCTGTGTTCTATCCTCATATAAAATCAAAGTTTCTGCGTCGGCAAGCCTTCGTTTCGACTCTGGAGACGTGAGTAAGCAATCTAAAGTGGATGTTCCTCGGTGGAGTCTTCGTTTCAAGATAGGTGGGCAGTGAACGTTCAGTGACCCCTTGATATGCGAGGCGTTAAATGACAGAAATGAACGGCAGTCAATAACTATGCACTTCTGACTCAGAGAACTAGCCATGTTTACAACAGTGAGTGGGGCAAGGGGCCAGATTAATATGTCACTTTCATCCATTGCAACCATACTCTTTGATTCAGCGATGATTTGACCAATAACTGAATTACGGTGTGGCTTTCCTTGTTTACTGAAAGAAATTATACACCAGCGATTATTTAGTGATGGATAGACTTCTGCTTCTACGGGCGCACTTCTCTGTAACTGATGTTCAGTTCAACAAGCCCGCGTTTATATTCTCTTTATTCCCGCCCAGCTCTCATGTTGCTATTTTGATCATGCGTGACGTCATTGAAAAGGCGGTTTTGTTACGTCGTGTCGTGTCTCACGAGTTTGTCCCGACCTATTATTTCCTTTCATTGGCGAAAGCTAATACCGCGACGACAGATGAACAATACAAGAACAATAAGCAAGACATTCCACTCGTGACAGAAATGTTATCAGGTTTCTAAATGACGTCCTTTAAGGCAATTAGACCTACTTTCATCAAGTATCGACTATCAAATTCTAAAATTCTTAGTATATTTGCGCAATTCATGTATTCGTTAAGTTAAAGGTTTTAAAATTCCAAGCTTTGAGCGCATAACATTTTTTTGTGTTAAATAAGGATAATTAGCAGTCATCCAGAGCATTTCGTTCCATCAAGGGGTATCAGAAGAAATTTTCTGTGTTGTAAATCAAAGCGAGAGAGAGAGAGACGAAAATCTATGGGATAAATTATTACGACTAGAACCCGTAAAGAACGCCAAGCACTTTCTCTTTACTATCACATTTCCAAGCCCAAACATGGCTATTGAAAGAAAAACAAACCAGTATTGTGGACGCTCGTCAGTTCTTTTTATAACAATAAGCAAATTGCTATAATTTGATCCGTCACTCTCCCAAAATAGTAAGCACCAATCACTGATCTGGAAAACAAGTATATATATATATATATTTTTTGTTTTCTTGCAAAGACACATCGCATTGCTACATTTGCACATTTTGATAAATTGTTTTGCAGTTTTCGTTGGCGCCATCTGTACATACAAGCGATCAAAGTGCTTTTGTGGTCATGTTATCTTCATAAGAATGCAGATAAGATATCGCTGCTAATATTCCAATTGACCACAGCGCCTCTCCTTGAATTCCACACATCAAGTTATAAAAATCATATTGCCAAATTTAAAAATATTCGGCCTTGATTTTAGAAGCTAAAGCCGGCATTGAAGTCCGTCAGGCCTTGCCCATTAAATGAGGCCGTCAAACTTCAGTTTTAAGCTTCTGGTTCCTTCAACCGGATAAAAGCAGTGGAAAGGCCGAGATTTTGGTATTGTGTGGGAATGCAAGGCCTAAAGTTATATTTTCCCTTATGTAGCGACGATAAAATACCGCATCAAAGAACAATTAGCTAACACACTTAAGTTCAAACGGTAGCTCAGATCAGTTCCCGTTAGTTGAACATCCCCAAACTAATTATGTGCAAACAGTGCGTGACTTGTTGGGTTCCGGTTCGTTTCTCTCACACCCTATTTCCGTTCAAGCTAAATATACTCCTGGCATCATTACAAGCTGGCAATTTCTTTTTACTTAGGCCAACCTTGTTTTCCTTTCTGACATGCTATAGCTAGATTCGGAATAACGCCGGCTGCTCGTAAAAAAACTACTGCGCCCTTCAGATTTAAGTTTGACCTTTTGTACTGACCGTTCGCCGACGGTAATATTAATTTCTTACAGGTGAAACAACTACTTTTATTGTGTGGGCAGTGTTAACTCTCTGATATGTATTGGAAGTCACAAAATGGTAATAGCCGCTGATATTTGATTTCGGCAGTATCGAACCATTTTTGGACTCGCTTTTCTGCTCCGCAGGAACGGGTCTTTTGGGAGAGTACGTAGGTGGGAGGCTTGCTCTACCCGGCGGCCGACTGAGCATTTCACCGCATTACCTCTGAGTAGGCAATGTACTAAGAGGAAATGAAACTCCAAGGACTGAACATCGGCACTCAGTGAAAAAAGTAAAGCCATACCGAATGTAAAACCTTGCTCGATAAGTTATCCAGAAATAACGGAGCAGTTTGTTTCCCCTAAGGATTTTACTCGAATGAGAAGACTGGCGAAAAGTAAAATGTTTCGGCAAGTAAGCAATTTCCTCTACGAATTTTGCTGAGTTGCTAGAAATGTCTACCTGTTTTACAGAGAGTAGCTGAGAGTCCTATTAACTTCTAGTCACCTAGTCACTTATAAAACAAGTGTTTTCGTGTTTCCATAGTTGATATAATGGCCGTGATAATGAGCCAGTTCTTTAAATGAACTGACTCTGTAACAAGTAACTCCAGGTTCTGTTCTGACTTGGTTTCCCAATACAGCCGTACTGTAACTCAAATGGAATGTAGTCGACCTTTTTTAGCTTTCCCCCACAGTATGTGATTTTACAAGATCCGCCATAACTCATCAGAATTTTGATACCATTTTGTTAAAACTATTTTCGTAGACCTAGTCTCAACTGCTTCCGTTTTTAAGCTAAAAATAATTCCAACAATAAGAACAAATTTTAAATTTCATTTTGTTAGTGTTATTTAGTCTGTTGAGTGATATTTTTGACGAAGTTTAATCTATGATTCTATGATTCTAGCTGGGCATGTACCGTGACAGCAGCCAGCTGATTTCACTAAAACAACAACAACAACAACAACAACAACAAC